GATATGATAATGACATGGAATATAAGGACTTCACATTCCTTAACTTTCTTAGTCAACATGTCATTATTTCTCATCGTTTTTGTTCTGACACATCTCAACAAAATGGATGCTTTGAGCGCAAACATTGTCATATTCTTGATACTATTCGTGCTTTTCTCACCTCTTCTTCATGTCCTGGGCATTTTTAAAGTGAATTTGCTCTTTCTGTTGTTTATACCATCAATCATATACCATCTCCTATTATCGGGAATCAATCTACCTATGAACGATTACCTCTTATTATTAGGGCTACCATTGGAGATATTGGTTTCTCTGCTAGCCCTTATGATTCGACCTTCTTTGTTTGTAAGTCTAAGCGTGACACTACTCTACTACTTCTCTATGTTAATGATATGATTATTATTGAAGATGATGTTTTTAGTATTTCTAATCTCAAACATCTTCTCCACACACTTGATAAAAGATCTTGGTTCTCTCAGCTACTTCTTAGGCCTTGATATCTCGTCTGACTCCAGTGAATATTATCTCTCAGGCCAAGTATGCATTTGATCTTCTTACTCGTGTTGGACTCACATTTTCAAAACTGTACCTGCCTTATTAGAGTAAAATGTTTGACTTACTCCCTTGGATGGCACAACTCTCTCTAATGCCACTCTTTATGTATATCACTGTTACTCGTCCGGATATTGCCTGTTGTTCATTTCGTCAGCCAATTTTTGATTGACCCTCGCTCTAATCATTATGTTGTTGATCTTCGTATTCTACGATATATTAAGGATATTATGTTTTATGGTCTTTATTACTCTACTCATTCATCTCTCGAGCTACGCACCTATTCTAATGCTGACTGGACAGGAGATCCTAGTAATCGTTGTTCTATCATTGGTTACTGTTTAGTAATTTCATTTGTTTTTGTGTTTTATTTGAAAGTGATATTTTTCATTCCTAAAATGTACCACCAATGGCATTAACTAGTAGTTGGAATAAAATTTAAATTCAAATGTAAATGCAATATTTATTTAATAATATCTTTTTTGTGTTTAATTTGAAAGGTATATTTTTACTAGTAAGTGTCACTGATGATACACTCCAAGAACGAAGAATATACCTTTAAACATTGCATTTGAATTTAAATTTCATACCAACTATAGTAAGTGCCACTAGTGGTATATTTCAGGAACGAAAAATATGTCTTTCAAATCAAAACAAAAAAACGAAATTATTAATCAAACATTGCATTTATATTTGAATTTTATTCCAACTACTAATCAATGTCACCAATGGTACACTTAGAAAACGAAGAATATACTCTTTCAAATGAAATATAAAAAACGAATTACTAAATAAATATTGCATTTAAATTTAAATTTGAATTTTATTCCAATTATTACTAATTGCCACAAGTGATAGTTGGAATGAAATTCAAATTCAAATGTAAATGCAAAGTTTATTTAGTACTTTCACTTTTTTTTTTTTCATTTGAAAGACATATTTTTCATTCTTGAAGTGTACCACTAATGCACTTACTAGTAGCTGGAATAAAATAAAAATGTAAATGCAATATTTATTTAGTAATTTCATTTTGAGTAAACTACACATATGACTCTCAAATTATGACTCTTGAGTCAATTAATACCATGAACTTTTTTTATGTCAATTAAACTACTAAACTCTCTAACTTTGTCAATTGAACCCTTTTGTCTGCTTTTGATAAAGTGTCACTCACGTGACCATATGACATAAAAAGAAAGAAGGGCTCACTTGACACAATTAGAGAGTCCGGTAACTCAATTGACACAAAAAAAAAATAAATTCAAGAGGTTAATTGACACAATGGTCATAATTTGAAAGTCAAATGTATAGTTTTTTTTAAAGTAAGTCAGATGTATAGTTTACTCTTCGTTTTTTGTGTTTCATTTAATAGACATTCTTCATTTTTGTCATTTTTGAAATGTACCCCTGGTGACACTTACTAGTAATTGGAAAGAAATTCAAATTCAAATGTAAATGTAATTTTTATTTAATAATTTTATTTTTTGTGTTCCATTTGAAAGACATATTCTTCGTTCTTGAAATGTACCACTAGTGACACTTTCTAGTAGTTGGGAAGAAATTTAAATTCAAATGTAAATGCAATGTTTAGTTAGTAATTTTGTTTTGAGTAAAGCTATTCTCACCCTACAAATATTCATTTATATCTCATTTAATTGCGTATTGTCAAACTAAAGTTCATTATTTTTATACTCACCCCATTAGTAACTAAATTTATCACATGCTATATACACTCCTTTAATAAGTAAGAAAAAAAATCTATCAATGTCCAAAAGAAAACAATAAAGAACAACCAAGAAAAGAGAAATTAACAAAACAAACAAAAAAATCTATTGCCGAAAAAATAAAATCAACATCCACCATCTTGAATGTTTAGAGCTCACTTAACAAAATAACTATTGCAAACAAACATGGTAAAGTTACACACAAATCATTCAGTACTCGTATTGCACCTGAATTGCAAAATGGTTGTCCCTCGATGATGGTAATGGAGAAAACAAATGCCAAAGAGGCATTTCTCCTAATACAAGATATTTTAATCCAAGAACTATGATGCAAAGATGGGAAAAACGTGAAGCGGAGCGCTGCCGCGGCCGCGGCGGGGGGGGGGGGTCACCATACGCACATATAAATCTTGAATTAAACATTATCATATTTTACAGAGATTTCGAAACACGACAAAAAAAATAGAATTCACATAACACACATGAAATTAAACATAAAATTAAATTAAGATGTAATTTTAATATGTATCTCATTAGAGAAATTCATATTGAAAAAATAAATTTTTGAGCTTATGAGATGATATAATGAATGAAGCTTTGATTGTGATGAGTATAGAAGCGATAAACTTAATAATTTGATAATAAAAAATTAAATGGGGTGAGAATGAATATTTGTGGCTATGAAACACATACACTCTTAAGGTGACATATCCCTGTCGAACACTGACACTTTTTCCGTATTTATAATTAAATGATAAAATCTTAATTACAAGCACGTGTCCAACATTACTTTAAACCGTGTGTATTACTAAACAATAAACATGTATTGACATGTGATTAACAAGTTTAAAATTTTGATTATTAAGTATCTTATACTATGAGAGAACATATAATTACCAATATTAAATATCTTAAGGTTGTACTAAAAATATAATAATAAAAACAAAAGATCCATAAGATTTAAAAAACATAAATTGAAATGAGAGCAGTCTTGTAAATTATATATGTATAGTACACGTCTACAAAAAAATTGATAATTATTTGTTATTATGATGTTGGTCTAAATATTCACACCAAATGAATAAAGATGACATTTATTTATCATAAAATACTAAATTTTTTAATGAATAATATATCATTACTATTATAGTTACAATAAATTATATAATTTTATATATAAAATACAATTATCTGTAACATGACGGTATCCAATTTTTTTGAAAAATATTGCGTATGCATGTCCATGTTGGTGCGTATCATATCCGTGTCCGTGCTTAAATTTGTGGGACAAAACTAGTCTCACACTTTTGTTTTTTGTGTTTCATTTAAAAGGGTATATTTTTTGTTCATGAAGTATACCACTAGTGACACTTACTAGTAGTTGGAATAAAATTTAAATTCAAAAATAAATGCAATATTTATTTAATACTTTTATTTTTTGTGTGTCATTCAAAAGGTGTATTCTTCATTCTTGAAGTGTACCAATACCAACACTTATTAGTAGTTCGAATGAATTTCAAATTTAAACGTAAATGCAATGTTTATTTAATAATTTTGGATAAATTTGGTAACGTTTTTATTTTTATATTTTTTTTTTAGAAAAAAAATAAAATAATTTTTTTTTTTGGTGATAAAAATTAAAAATATAAAACATATTGTAGTCATTTATATTTAAAAAATTATATAAAAAAAAATATGTTTAATATTATACCAAAAATTTACCACCCAACACCACTACCAAAAACCACCCCCACAACCCGTTTTCCAATACCCAGCAGCCCTTGAAATTCACCACCCCCACCTCGAAACTCACCACCACCGAAACCCACCCCTACCAACACCACCCCTTGAAACCCACCACCACCCCTTGAAACCCACCACTACTGAAATTCATCTCCATCATCTGAAATCCAGTACCACCCCTTGAAATCCATCCCAATCCCATCACCCACAGCCACCCAACCCCACCCTCATCCCCAAACACCCCCTCCCCAAATTACCGCCCCCTGAAATCCATCCCAATCCCCTGAAACCCACAGCCACCTAACCCACCTCCATCACCAAAATCCACAGCCACCCAACCCATTCCTTTCCCCGAAATCCACCACCACCCAACCCATTCCCTTCCCGAAATCCACCACCACCCAAGTCCACCCCCTATCCCTGAAAAACCTACCACCACTGCCCAACCCCGCCACCGCTATCGAAACTCCCCACCACTCTCCAAAATTCATCACCAATATCAAAATAGAGAAGGTTGAGAGAGAGAGACTAGATCCTTCAATGGCAATGGGGTCTAGATCCTTCTGCTTTAGGGTCGTTTTCATCTTCGACATCGAGAGAGAGAGAGGCGACAGAGAGATGACAGAGAGGAGTGAAAAGGGAGAGAGAGATGACTTTTTATACTTAAAGCAAAAAAATCCACCTTTTGTTGATAAAGAGGATCGAAACTCAGACTTCATTAAATTCTCGCGTGTTTGTTTTTTTTTTTTGGATGTTTTCATATTTTAACTTTGTTTTTGAAATAGAATAATTAAAAAAAAAAAAAACATTCACCAAACATATTTTTATTTTTTACCATAAAATGAAAACAAAAGGTTACCAAAAATTAGTGTACTACTTGACACTCACCTTCTTCTTTCAAAAAAAAAACATAGACACTCACCTTCACAGAGTCAGAGAGAGCAAGGACGAATTAAGAAGAGCTCCGAAGCTTTCTCTGCAATGGAGCGAACACTTCTAACAAGGATTGCGGGTTTGTTTCAGGAACTTGCTAGTTCCGTGAATTCTATGGAACCGCGTCTTGAGATTGGGCGGATCGTTTTGGATTGCCGCCTCGTTGCCACTCTCATAGGCTACTTTGGACTGGTTATTAGGTTCGCCGCCGACGAATTTTCGAACAAGGTGATCATACTTTTCACTAACCATTTGAGTTTTTTCTCCTTTATTCTTGGATTCATTTTTCTCACAATGTGTTTATTGTAAAGAAGGTGATTATTCTCACAATGTGTTTATTGTAAAGAACAACCCCCAGTCACTACCCTGCAGTTGTAACCCCCCCCAATGCCTCCTCTCTCCCCTACCAATACTTGAAATCAAAGAAAATCCTTTCGGGGATTTGAAATCCTTTGTATTTTATTATATAGATGTGACAATCAATCTCCTTAATCCCTGCCAATTAAGAGATCCTCCAAAGTTTGGAATACCCTTCCTGTTTATGTTCTTATCCATTATAGCTGAAATTATTTCAGGGAGACTTGCTTGTTTCTGTCAAAAAAAAAAACTGGAATATCACCCGGGATCCTTGGGCTGATTTCAAAGTCATGCAAATCTAGTAAATTAATTTGGTCAATATAAACATGTCCAGTAAAACGAAAAATTTGCCTTCATGGAGTATGAAAGGAAAATCCAAAAAAAAAAAAAAAAAAACTCTCCCCATAGTCCCTTGAAACCCTCTAGTAGTAACCCACAAAATCCGTCCAAGATAGTGCCAGAGAAAATCTCAGCTTTTAGAATTTTCTAGGATGTACACTAGACAGTTGTTCGTCAATGCCCAGTTGGCAATCACTCCTCACCAAGTGTGGTAGGATTCGTTGCCATTCCTAATATAACATTTCTCTTATCTGATTTGCATCCCGTAACATCAATGTAATCTTCCTCAATGAATCATCTTAAGTCCAACTTTTTGAAACAAAGCATCATTTCCACTATATGCTAGTAAATACAATTACTTTCACGCCCTCTTTAAATAATTAGTTGAACACAAAGGCATTGCAATATAGTAGAAAACCTACGACAGAGTACATAGCTGATAGCTCTTGCTTTCGGCCATTATGTGATACATAAATTCTCTCCTAAATGTTCTTGCTTCCTGTCCTTCTTTACATAATTAATTTAAACAATTAGGTTGGTCACCTCTTTATCACTATATTCCAATTCTAAGATTAGGGGCAAAAAATTCCAGCTCCCACGCAAATTGTTTCTGAAATAAACACATTGGAAAGGTCGAAGATTTGGCCCAACTCATCACACCACACCTTTTTCTCAAATAAACTTGAATTGTGGCATTGAACAAATAATCAACAGTTCATTAACCTCAGGAAGTTTTTTATTTTAGATTCTTCTCTATTTTGCACTATTTGGTCGGACACAGAGAGATTCAAAAGAGACTTTACATAATTTTGGTTGCATTGCAACATTGAAAGTCTAATATCTGCCAAATATTTGTCAACACTTGCCTGTTCTCATGGACAAAGTAAACTCACACCACACAAAAATAAACGAATAAAACTAAGCTCTACGGTTCCATCAGAAAATATAAAATACAAAATCCACCAAAAATAAGCAGCAGTAGTGCAGGCCGCTGAGGGAGGAAGATTCTCAGGGCAGTGTGGGTGACTGGGCTGCGGTTGTTGGGTGGGGCTGTGGGGATGGGGGGAGAGGGAGGGCAGAGTTTGGCAAAGAGAAAAGAGGGAGAGGGAGTTACCTGAGAGTGGGAGAGACAGCATCGTTGTTGTCGCTGGGGTGCTGGGAGGTCGCCGGCGCCATCTATAGCCTCATGTATGGACTGGCGGTAAGAAAGAGAGAGGGGGGCGACATGGAGGGACAAGAAAGAATGATAAAAGCAGATAAAGAAAGTAGAAGAGAGAAAGTGCCCGGGTAAATCCGTCAATGTCGAGGTGCGCCCTCGGTCATCGATTTTACCTGGTCCATGAGCTGCAAAATTAAAAAGAGGTTAGAGAAATTCTCGGCATTGAGGCAAGAAAGATCCTTCTGATACTTAAGTAGTATTACAATTAATACATGAATAGACCAGTATATAAACTGAAAAAATCATATAAATGTGTGTGTGGAGTATAGAGTCAAGGTGCTCATCTTCGAGATCCCCCTCTTCTTTGGGTCTTCACTCATATATATAGAGAAGATTAGAGAGTTACTTATAATTTTGTACTGTGTAACCATCAATATAGGGAGATATGCATGGGCTAGCCTACTAAAAACACTTATTACCTGCCATTATTTATTGTCATGGGTTCCACTTGTGATATATGTCAATTCTTTTTTTTTTCCTTCCTTAGGTGTGGGGTTGGGAGACCCATTTGATAAATAACTAAAAACACTTATTACCTGCCATTATTTATTGTCATGGGTTCCACTTGTGATATATGTCAATTCTTTTTTTTTCCTTCCTTAGGAGTGGGGTTGGGAGACCCATTTGATAAATAATGTTCTGTCAATTGGCCCTCAACTTTTATTTCCTTTGAATACTCAAAAGGAGATGAAAACTATGAAGAATATTCATGTCTCTGGGGATAATATCCACACCCTCGTTGGTGAGATACGACTTAAGGGAGATATGCTAAGATCTATTATATGCTATCAAGCAAGCATAGAGCCCAAATTCAATAGATAATAGCACGTGCAAAGTCCGAATATACTTGTCTTTTATAATAGAATACCAAGACCAATAAACGAGAAGCTCAAATACTCAACAATCAATGAATGATGTCTCAATCAATCAGAGTAATGCACCAGGTGCCATAGATGACATCTCCATGGTTGAATAAAGGAGAGAATATAACAGTTCTAAGCTTAATCAATAACAATGAACACATGAGAAATCCATCAGGCCAAACAATAATAAAGTGCCTTATTGATTGACCGAATAATAAAGCATCCAACATAACCATGAGAAGTCCCTGCAGAGAACAAGTCTTGAATAGAACATCCATAGTTGAATCATATACCTTGTTTGAAGAGGATAAAAGTATGAGTCATAACGAGGATGATCGTGAGGCGCCTTTCAAGGCGAATATGTCGAACGAGAAAGACCAATAACAGATGATGCCGATCCTTTGAATAGAGACCATATAAGCTTAGCCTCCGAACACATCCATCCCTTGAGGTCGAGCAATATTGAAGTGCCTTATTGAGGGGCTCAAGGAATACCGATGATAATTATGAGATGTCTGCTGGAGAGATCTAAATCTCGAATGGGATAACCATAGCTGTTCCATATCCAAATATGATGAAGATAAGAATATTTACACCCCGAGAAGGGCCACTATAATCAAATGTGACAAATGTCGAGCACGACCGAGTCCTGAAGAGGACAATAATAGTTGGATCCTCTGAAGTGCGACCAAATAACCTTGGCCCTTAAAAAAAGGACCAAATAAGTTTGTCTTTGCAAATAAAGGCTGAGCAAAACTTGGCCCCCAAAGGGTCGAATACACTGGGTCTTTGGAAGAGGGATTGAACAGTCTTGGCTCTTTGAGAATGTTCATAAAAGAAGGCCCGAATATGTCTGTCATTTGGCCTCGACAATCCCAACTTTGATGATCAACTGGGCTTTGGTCTTGTCCTTTATTATAATGTTCAAATTACATTTAATTGAAATAAATAAAAATATACCTTGTTAAACTGAGTCTTGAATCTATCAAACCCATAGGTAGACAATTCAAGGTCTTTTCAGTGGGATTCTTCTTGTGAGGGCCTTTATGTCTAACCTCCGGATATGTGTGTTGACTTTGGGCTAACCCTCTCATAATTGTATTGCACAATGTCCAGGGTTTCACCCAAAGTCTTGTGTTACTTCCATAAAACAAGGAGTACTCTCAAATGTAGGTTCTTGAACATGACCTCGAGCTCATCAACTGCCTAAACATATAGGAATTTTGGTGTTTTGGCCATGCAAAGACTTATCTGTGTTCAGGGCTTAACTCCGAGTCTCATGTCACCTCTCTAAATAAGGAACACTTCTAAGTCCAGGTCCTTGAATCCGTCCCTGATAGGTTTTATGCTTACAATAGAACTTTTGGTGCTTTGACAGAGCAAAGAGTTACCCGTGTTTAGGGTAAAACCCCGAACCTCATGTCACCTCCTTCAATTAAGGAGTACTCTCGAGTCCAGTTCTTGAACCCGTCCTCGAGAGGTTTTTGCCTACAATAGGACTTTTTGTGCTTTGACCATGCAAATACTTATCCATATCTAGGGCTCACCAAGTGTTTGGACATATAAGGCTTTTGGTATTTTGGTCATGCAAAGACTTACCCATTTGTTCGTGCCTCAGGGATCTGTGTCTTGAATGCCTGATCCAATGTCGTTGACTAGTTTTGACTTCTTACTGTTGTTTCTGTTGGGCTTCTGCCCTTTTGTCCCCCAAGTGTGATGCCCCTATTGATTACAATGTGACATTATTCCATTTCAATTCTTGTTTATTTGGTGACAAAAAACTTTGATCTACCCCCATTATTTTAGTTCCCATTCTCGTTTACTTGTGTTTGTCTAGGTCAAGCTTTTGGGGCGAAACTCATATGAAATTGGGCACCTACTCAGAATAGGTGGAAATCATTTTTGATGTTTGAACTCTGAAAGCATCTCATGACATCATTGCCACATCCAAGGGAGCTGAGTGAGATTGGGAGATCATTCGACTTTGCCCTTGTTCTGAGGTATCTGGCGTTGATTTTGACCCCGAGCTGGGTATCAAAAGACTTTAGTCATCGGTTGTCCGATGGTATTTGTTGATTCAAACTATGGTGTGACCGTAAAACCATAACCCTATTATTGGGAGCCAAGATACCCTTGTTTTTTGAGCAGTCAAAGTGAAGATTCTAGTCTCTAGCGAGCTCCAGACGGATCATGCCGACCACCTCTAACTCTTCTGGTTTAATGCTGATTTGCCATGGGAAGAGGCAACATCCACTAAATCATGGACAATGTTGACCATCTATAAAGCATGGATACAGATACGAGATACGGGTACGATACGATACAGATACGACGATACAACAAAATCTAAAAAAGTAGAATATCGGTACGGCCAGAATACGACTATAATAAAATATTTTTATTATTTGCAACCAACTTAACACTTATATTTTGGTTGTTCTTTAACATATAATAAGGAAAATTAATAATTCTTTTTAGTTTTGATGATACTCAGAATAATCACCAAAGTATGAGCTCAAGTGCGGAGGTCAGACAAGTAGGTCAGGCTAAGAGGTCAGGGAAGATACGAAGAGTTCAGAGGATCGAAGCTAGAGCTCCCCAGACGTGACAACAACGAAAATGATAAGGGGACAGCTGGATGTCAACAATAATCTTACAGGTGGCAAGGAGCTATATTCAAGGTACAAAATTCCTAACCAGCCAAGATCCTCTCCTAAGATCAAGGAGAGTACCTCGGATAAAGGCCAAGGATCTCGGTGCTGATCTCATAGAACTAGGGACAACCTATAAATATTATGTAACGCCCCCAAGAAGGGAGAATAACGTACAATTGGTCTTTTAAACTTTGCGGATGATTAATAAAGAAAAAATGAGCAAGAGC